AACTTCGCGAAGCATGCACAAGTTTCAACAGCCGAATTGACCAAGCAGAAGAAAGAATATCTGAAGTCGAAGACCAACTCAATGAAATTAAACGAGAAACCAAGATTAGAGAAAAAAGTGCAAAAAGGAATGAACAAAGTCTCCAAGAAATGTGGGACTATGTGAAAAGACCTAACCTACGTTTGATAGGTGTACCAGAAGGGGACGAAGAGAATGAATCCAAGCTGGAAAATACTCTTCAGGACATCATCCAGGAAAATTTCCCCCACCTACCAAGACAGGCCAACACTCAAATGCAGGAAATACAGAGAACACCACAAAGATATTCCGCAAGAAGAGCAACCCCAAGGCACATAATCGTCAGATTCAACAAGGTTGAAATAAAGGAGAAAATACTAAGGGCAGCCAGAGAGAAAGGTCGGGTCACCCACAAAGGGAAGCCCATCAGACTCACAGCAGATCTCTCGGCAAAAACACTAAAAGCCAGAAGAGAGTGGGGGCCAATATTCAACATTCTTAAAGAAAAGAACTTTCAACCCAGAATTTCATATCCAGCCAAACTGAGCTTCAGAAGTGAAGGAAAAATAAAATCCTTTGCGAACAAGCAAGTACTCAGAGATTTTTTCACCACCAGGCCTGCTTTACAAGAGCTCCTAAAAGAGGCACTACACATAGAAAGGAACAACCAGTACCTGCCATTCCAAAATCACACTAAATGCTAAAGAACATCAACATAATGAAGAACCTACATCAACTAACAGGCAAAACAGCCAGTTAGCATCAAAATGGCAGTATCAAATTCACACATAACAATATTAACCCTAATGTAAATGGACTAAATGCACCAATCAAAAGACACAGACTGGCAAATTGGATAAAAAGCCAAAACCCTTCAGTGTGCTGTATCCAGGAAACCCATCTCACATGCAAGGATACACAAAGGCTCAAAATAAAGGGATGGAGGAAGATTTAGCAAGCAAATGGAGAGCAAAAAGAAGCAGGAGTTGCAATTCTCATCTCTGATAAAATAGACTTTAAAGCAACAAAGATCAAAAGAGACAAAGAAGGCCATTACATAATGGTAAAAGGATCGACACAACAAGAAGAGCTAACGATCCTGAACATATATGGACCCAATGCAGGAGCACCCAGATACATAAGGCAAGTTCTTAATGACTTACAAAGAGACTTAGACTCCCACACAATAATAGTGGGAGACTTTAACACTCCACTGTCAATATTAGACAGATCAACAAGACAGAAAATCAACAAGGATATCCAGGGCTTGAACTCAGACCTGGAGCAAGCAAACCTGATAGACATTTACAGAACTCTCCACCCCAAATCCACAGAATACACATTCTTCTCAGCACCACATCACACCTACTCTAAAATTGACCACATAATTGGAAGTAAAGCACTCCTCAACAAATGCAAAACAACTGAAATCATAACAAACAGCCTCTCAGACCATAGTGCAATCAAGTTAGAACTCAGAAGACAGAAACCAACCCAGAACCACACAGCTTCATGGAAACTGAAAAACTGGCTCTTGAATGTTGACTGGGTAAACAATGAAATGAAGACAGAAATAAAGAAGTTCTTCGAAACCAATGAGAACGAAGACACAACATGCCAGAACATCTGGGACACATTTAAAGCAGTCTCTAGAGGAAAGTATATAGCAATAAGTGCCCATATGAGGAGAATGGAGAGATCCAAAATTGACACCCTATCGTCAACATTGAAAGAGCTAGAGAAGCAAGATCAAAAAAACTCAAAACCCAGCAGAAGACAAGAAATAACTAAGATCAGAGCTGAACTGAAGGAGATTGAGACACAAAAAACCCTTCAAAAAATTAATAAATCCAAGAGCTGGTTTTTTGAAAAGATCAACAAAATAGACAGACCACTAGCCAGATTGATTAAAAATAAAAGAGAGAACAACCAAATAGATGCAATAAAAAATCATAAAGGGGAAATCACCACAGATTCCACAGAAATTCAAACCATCATCAGAGAATATTACAAACAACTCTGTGCACATAAACTAGTAAACCTGGAAGAAATGGATAAATTCCTGGACTCCTGTGTCCTCCCAAGCCTAAACCAGGAGGAAGCTGAAACTATGAATAGACCAATAACAAGGTCAGAAGTCGAGGCAGCAATTAAGAGCCTACCACTCAAAAAAAGCCCAGGTCCAGACGGGTTCACAGCCAAATTCTACCAGACACACAAAGAGGAGCTGGTACTATTCCTACTAAAACTATTTCAAACAATCCAAAAAGAGGGAAGCCTTCCCAAATCATTTTACGAGACCAACATCATTCTGATACCAAAACCCGGCAGAGACCCAACAAGAAAAGAAAACTTCAGGCCAATATCCATGATGAACATAGATGCAAAAATCTTCAATAAAATATTGGCAAGCCGATTGCAACAGCAAATCAAAAAACTTATTCATCATGATCAAGTAGGATTCATCCTGGGGATGCAAGGCTGGTTCAACATACGCAAGTCTATAAACGTAATTCACCACATAAACAGAACCAAAAACAAAAACCACATGATTATCTCAATTGACGCAGAGAAGGCATTTGACAAAATTCAACAGCCCTTTATGCTAAAAACCCTCAATAAACTCGGTATCAATGGAACGTATCTCAAAGTAATAAAAGCTATTTATGACAAACCAACAGCCAATATCATACTGAATGGGCAAAAACTGGAAGCATTCCCTTTGAAATCTGGCACTAGACAAGGATGCCCTCTTTCACCACTCCTATTCAATATAGTACTGGAAGTCCTAGCCAGAGCAATCAGGCAAGAAAAAGAAATAAAGGGTATTCAAATAGGCAAGGTGGAAGCCAAATTGTCTCTATTTGCAGACGACATGATAGTATACCTAGAAGACCCCATCGCCTCAGCCCAAAAACTCCTAAAACTGATAAGCAACTTCAGCAAAGTCTCAGGATATAAAATCAATGTGCAAAAATCACAAGCATTCGTCTACACCGATAACAGACTTAAAGAAAGCCAAATCAAGAACGAACCGCCATTCACTATTGCTACAAAAAGAATAAAATACCTTGGAATACAACTCACAAGGAACGTAAGGGACCTCTTCAAGGAGAACTACAAACCACTGCTCAACGAAATCAGAGAGGACACAAACAGATGGAGAAACATTCCATGTTCATGGTTAGGAAGAATTTATATCGTGAAAATGGCTATACTGCCCAAAGTAATTTACAGAATCAACGCTATCCCCATCAAGCTACCATTGACTTTCTTCACAGAACTGGAAAAAACCACCATGAACTTCATATGGAACCAAAAGAGAGCCCGCATAGCCAAGTCAATTCTAAGCAAAAAGAACACAGCGGGGGGCATCACACTACCGGATTTCAAACTATACTACAAGGCTACAGTAATCAAAACAGCATGGTACTGGTACCAAAACAGAGATATAGACCAATGGAACAGAACAGAGGCATCGGAGGCAACACAACATATCTGCAACTATACAATCTTTGATAAACCTGACAAAAACAAGCAATGGGGAAAGGATTCCCTGTTTAACAAATGGTGTTGGGAAAACTGGCTAGCCATGTGCAGAAAGGAGAAACTGGACCCCTTCCTGACACCTTACACTAAAATTAACTCCAGATGGATTCAAGACTGAAACATAAGACCTGGCACCATAAAAACCCTAGAAGGAAATCTAGGCAAAACTATCCAGGACATAGGAGTAGGCAAGGACTTCATGAACAAAACACCAAAAGCATTGGCAACAAAAGCCAAAATAGACAAATGGGACCTAATGAAACTCCACAGCTTCTGCACGGCAAAAGAAACAGTCACTAGAGTGGATCGGCAACCAACAGAATGGGAAAAAATTTTTGCAGTCTACCCATCTGACAAAGGGCTGATATCCAGAATTTACAAAGAACTCAAACAGATTTACAGGAAAAAAACAAACAACCCTATTCAAAAGTGGGCAAAGGATATGAACAGACACTTTACGAAAAGAAGACATATATGAGGCCAACAATCATATGAAAAAATGCTCATCGTCACTGGTCATCAGAGAGATGCAAATCAAAACCACATTGAGATACCATCTCACGCCAGTTAGAATAGCGATCATTAAAAAATCTGGAGACAATAGATGCTGGATAGGATGTGGAGAAAAAGGAACACTTTTACACTGTTGGTGGGAGTGTAAATTAGTTCAACCATTGTGGAAGACAGTGTGGCGATTCCTCAAGGCCTTAGAAATAGAAATTCCATTTGACCCAGCAATCCCATTACTGGGTATATATCCAAAAGACTATAAATCGTTCTACTATAAGGACACATGTACACGAATGTTCATTGCAGCACTGTTTACAATAGCAAAGACCTGGAATCAACCCAAATGCCCACTGATAATAGACTGGATTGGAAAAATGTGGCACATATACACCATGGAATATTATGCAGCAATCAGAAATGATGAGTTTGTGTCATTTGTAGGGACATGGATGAATCTGGGGAACATCATTCTCAGCAAACTGACACAAGAACAGAAAGTGAAACACTGCATATTCTCACTCATAGGCGAGTGATGAAAAATGAGAACACATGGACACAGAAAGGGGAGTACTAAACACTGGGGTCTATAGGGGGGAAAAGGGGAGGGCCAGTGGGAGGGGGAGGTGGGGAGGGATAGACTGGGGAGAAATGCCAAAGGTGGGTGAAGGGGAAAAGGAAAGCAAAGCACACTGCCATGTGTGTACCTACGCAACTGTCTTCCATGCTCTGCTCATGTACCCCAAAACCTAAAATCCTATAAAAAATTAAAAAAAAAAAAAATGTTTTCAATAGCCACATAACAAATTACATAGTGCACAAACCTGGATGTTTTCAGAATTTGTTTTAAATAAAATTCCCCAATATTTTCCTTAGAAATCCAACAAGTCCTATACAAACCTTTAAAACTGAAAGTCCATGACTGGTGAGTTTCAATATTTTATTAAAATAGCATATTTAACCATGGTTAACCAAGAATATGTTAACTTTGTCCCCCCCACCTCCCCACCTTCCCCAAATACGCAGCACAACACAGTAGTGATTTCAAATATCCTTGATCATAATAACCAACAGAAATATGTCAAAGTCAAGTTTGCAACTAAAAAGTAGACCTTGAAAAAACTCTGAATTAAAAGAGAAACATAAAGCTCTCAAACAGGATTCTTTTATCTGCCCTAAAATCAATGCCGGTGCACCACCTGCCTGACAATACTGCTGGGATTTCTCTTTATGCGTAGTATAATGACTCATTTATTAAGTACCCACTTTTATAAATAAAATCACCATTTTTCGTCCCGTTTAATGTTCCTTTTCAGCTTCACAAAGAAACCAGTAAATAAAACTGTCAACGACAGTCACAACATATGCTCTCACAGCAAGATAAAAAACTTGAAAATACGCAGAGATGCATCTACGCTATTTTACATAAAAAGAGAGAGTCAAAAAGTGCAAGGCAAAATCTGCAGTTTTCTGAGGGGAGCTTTTAGGCACATCCATTTCATTAAAGCAAGCTTCAGAATGAAATTCCAGTTTGTTCTTCACGACACCTGTTAAAGTCTTTCTTTAAACAACAACAAAAAAAGCCAGAAATACATCCCATCAAGTGTACAACGGTAGTCTTGTGTCCTGGAAGTGAGGAGTTCAGTTGTGGCGAGTCCGTCCTTTCTTTATTCTGGCAGGCTTTGGTTTGGGGATGTACTGATTATTTGCCTGGTACTCGAGTTCTTTACGGAAGTAGTGAATTGCTTTGTTTAAACCTTCCTCCAGCGGGACCTGTTTAAAGGGAAGGCGAGAAAGAGACAAGGTCATGCTGACAGAAGGGCATCACAGGAAGGAAGTGCCAACTTGTAGCCAGTCAGGTCTCCTTCAGAGGAACACTCACAGAACCACGTTTTGGTTGTGACAGAATCCAGCATCACCACCCATCGAGAGAGGCCAGAGGTCTTTCAGGGCTGCTTTCAGAATGTGCTCTATGACTTATCAAGGGTGACTCTAACTGATGTAAAGTAAGCACCCCACAGAAGACCTCAACTATCTCTTGCTGGTACAATGTCTACTCCAGTTTGAATCAACTACCAAGATTGTTTTTCGGATAATGCCCATGTGCCCCATTCTTTCATAAGAAATCCACCTTGGAGTGGAGGAAAGATGCTTTGGGAAGGTGATCTGGATGTGATCAACATGCCTGATTCTCCCACGTGACATCAACCCTTTGCACTGCCCAGCGGATCATGGCCCACTTGCACCCCCACCATCCTAAGAGGCTGAGTCTGAGAGGGGACCCACCACAGTTCACACCACAAAAAGCAACCTTCATCGGGAGCTGCCTTGCAGCCAACAGGAAACAAGTCAGATCAACTGCTAAGAGCAGACAGGGCAAAGGTGAAGGGAGGCACTGCCAAGGGGTGCTGGGAAACGCTGGGGGAGGTCTGTCTGTCACCTTGACTGTGGCGATGATTTCAAAAGTGTCAAAACAGACGAAAACTTATCAAACTGTATGTTCTAAATATGGGCAGTTTGCAGTATGCCAATTATATCTCAACAAGCTGTTAAACACACACTTGGGACAATTAACATGGAGAAAGCCTGTAAGGTTCTTTGGATCATATCCCTCAAAATGTATTATAAATTAAAACTACTACTAGAAGAGAAACCAGTGGTAGATGGCTCACATTATAAGAATGTTAGAATATTGTACGCCAAAATTCCAGAAAAATAAAGATAGTGAGCATACACACACCTCACATAAAAAGCAATAGTTAATACATAGTGAATGCACATTTAACTCTTCAAAAAGTATTTTGTTTAAAATATAGGTTCTCCTTACAAAGGGACCAAGAGCCCCCTACAAAGCTTCAAAAAACAAGAAACTACCTATGCTGCTATAACTTGTTTTACACAGCTTGTGATTATTAGATTTTGTGAAGTCTGGGTCTAACTGTATTTTAATTTCATTCAACAAATTTCTGTGGCTTTTTGGCAGATCACTTAGACTTGTACATCACAGAATAAAATAAGGATCAGGCTGGAATTCTCATGTCCTTTTAAAGTTCAATATTTGAGGATCCTACTCAGCTCTTATTATGCACATTTCTTAAAGGTAAAGTGAGCTCTCCACTACATCCCTGCCTCTCTGACTGTGCCACAACCCACCAGTCATGCCAAGATGCTCCTACATTTGTTGAACACCCAGTGTGTGTCAGGCTTGACAGCCACCGGCCTCCTGCTGTACACAGGGACACACGTTGTGCCTAAGGGGAGCCTAAGTTTCAGAGGTACGCATGAGGGTGGGCAGAGACGGAATGGCCAGGCAGAGCAGACAGTAAATGAGGTGGGCTTGCTTCTGTAGATGCGGCCGGCCCAGCCAACCTCCCTACACAGCTGGTCTTTAAAGCACACAGACAGCCCTGGGGGTGAGCATTCTCCAGCAGGGAGGAGCATACAGTCACCTGAGGCAAGAAGGGCACGGCAGGTGCAGAGCAGAGGCAGGTGAAGTTCAGGCTCAGCCCCAGGGAGAGTGAAGCAGCCCCGCCCCTGCACAGGCCAGGCCAGAGTCTTAGTCTACCACAACAGGAAGGAAGGCAAGCAGTTTCCCTTCCTCCACACCCTTTAGTCTCACACACTTCCAGCCAGGGGCTCTACTGCAGGGCTGATGTGAACCACTCGCCCCTGACTTGGCCCCACACACTCAAGAGGCAGGCAGCCGGGGCTACGCAGGGTTGTGGGCATGCGCTGCCAGTGCCCTCGGCACAATGTTCACGGAGTCGGCTGTATATGTGTGAGTGTGTGTATGTATATGGGAGCAGCAATGTATGTGTGAATGTGTGTGTGTGAGTTTGTGTATACGTGTATGAATGTGAGAATGTGTATGATAGTGTGAATGTGTATGTGTGAAAATGAGCATATATGCCTAAGTGTTTGTATGACAGTGTGTATGACTGTGTGAGTATGAGAGAGACTGTGTGTGTATGAGTGTTTGTATGACAATGCATGTGTATGAGAGAGTGTAAGAATGTGTGTGACAGAGATTTTACAAAACCAGAGCCCAGAGCAGGGGCTTCCAGCTGCTTCCCAGGTAACATTCTCTGAGCTTCCTGATACAGGAGAAGCTATTTACCACTTGGAGAAAGTCCTCTATCTGCCAGGATGCCAAGCCCGCCTTGCTTCCCGGGAACTACCTGACAATGGTCAGTGCCTACAGGACAGCAGACATGGTACACGGGACGCCCCTCCCCATGAGACAGCATTAACTCCCAACACTTACCACGGGCTCCCACCCCAGCATTAGCTTCGCTTTTTTGATGTCTGGTTTTCTTTTCTGTGGGTCATCCTGGGCTTCAGAGAGAAACTGAATTTCACTTCCGCTACCTGAGATGTTTAAAGAATAAAAAGGTAAGAGAAGCACAAAGAACAGGGAAGCATGGCCTTACCATCCACATCAAAGTCAAACCCATCTGCCACGTGAATAGGGGGCAGGCAGTGGAAATGCAGCTCCCAAGAAGCCCTGGAGCTCCTGAGGGACTCTCCCACGTGCAAGTACAGGAGCACTCCTGCAACTGCTTGGTGGGGGGGTACGTTACTCTACCTCAACAGGCCTGAGTTACCGCCCCAGGCAGTAACTGTACCTGAGTGCCACTCCCAGGCAGCCCACCCACACCAGGTAACAAGTGCAGACGTCCCCGCAAAGAATGACCCCAGTGTGAGACCACAAACATATTATGGGGCTGTCCCTGAGGTGGATGCCCCAAGTAGGCCACACCTGGGTGCCCGAAGCCTAGACAGCCCGAGACCCAAGATGTGCAGCCACCCAGCTAAAGGGACCTCTCGGAGGACGGCAAAGCCTGGCCTATTCTGCATCCTTGGAATGTCACCTGTGACTGTGTGCCAGATTGGCAGAAGAAAGCCTGTGGAGGCTTTCCCTGCCTCCCTATCACTGAGGCCACATCACAGACTCTGCAGTCAATCACCACCATAGATGGTTCTGGATGCTGTCACAAAGCTACACACAGAAGTACAGCAGAGAAGCTGCACCCCCGCTTAGGTTTCAAATGAGTTTCTCATGCGTCAGCATGCATAGATAACCTGAAGAGCCTGTCAACATGCAGACCCTGATGTGGGAGACTGGGCTAGGGTGTGAGAGTATGAATTTCTAACACATGTCCTGATGATGCTGCCACGCTGGCCCAAGCGCTTCACTCTGGGCAGTGAGGGTGTAAGGAGTAGCTCTCACAGAACTGTGAGCTGAGCCTGCCCCTTCCTCACACGGGAGGAACACAGATTCAGGATGGAGAAGATGGAAAGTGCAGCATCGAAGTGGCTATGGGAGCCACAGATGCTGAAGGCTACGTTTGGAAGTAGGATAGAGGTGGTTGGCAGTAGCTACCACCTCTACTGCCACAAGCAACGAGAAGATTCCAGCCATCAGAGTTATTAGACCAATGCCAGTAAGGGCAGCCTGATGCCAGGAATTAACCCAGCCAAGTGGGGTCTGAATGGTCACCTCAGGACACACTGTTGACAATGTCCCTCCCTGGCCTAGCCCTCCAGTCCAGTCAGGATGTGTCATCACTCCAATTTCTGGATCAACCCCAGACAACAGACATCCTCCAAGCGCCTGACGCCTCAGAGCGCCAGGATGAGGCCAAGGGCTCATCCACTCTATGTCTGCAATCCAGGGCTGGTCTGGAAGACCTGACCTTCTCATGGCCTACGAGTCCACCTTGATGGGGTGCTTCCAATGCTACACTGCCCCAGTGGCTGGCAGCCAGGATGGCCAGAACTGCAAACAGAATTTCAAACTTGCCTAAAGCACACAGCTGGTGGTTGCTGCCTCGTGCTGTCTGTAATTCTATGCTTAACATGCATGACCAATTTGGAAATCCAACAGCTGTCACCTGTGTAGGATGATCTAACACAATCATGCCTCAAATACTGGAACAAATCTCTTCCTCCCTCCCACTCCATGCAAACCTACAATGAAAACTGTGAATAAAACCAGTCTGGCCCTCCCTTATCTTTCCATTACTTAAAAAATTAGAAAACACTTAAGTGTTCCTGATAAAAAGTTCTGCTTTGATCCAATTCAATTAGCTTGGATTAATTACCCACTTTCTAGTTAAGGTATTATCAACAGATAGGGCAGGCACAGACAATTCCACTCAAGAAGTGATTAATCCTACTTACCAACAAGGTTTTTAATTAACTGAGCAAATTCTAGGATTGTGTGTTCTTCTGGGTTCCCCTAAGGAAGAAATGGTTTTGGTTATAAGCATCATGACAAAAGCAGTGACCCGCCATGCAGACCACATGCCTGTCTGCTGGCCAAGTCTCACCTCCCTGCACTGCTTCAGCCGAGCTCCGTGTGCCAGCAGATACTCTACTTCCAAGATGCCAGTTACTCACGTGACAGTGCTAAACTGCACCATCTACACCTTCAGCTTCTAGGCTGCTGTGTACAAGGCTGGGCTTTGGCTAGGTCAAGAGTCTCAGATGAAGGCACACATTTACTCACTGAGTATCAGGCAATTTCCATATCTAACTTAAAACAATGTCACTTTTATAAAAGCTTGGGTTTACAGAATTAGCTCTTCTAACACCATCTATTTCCCTCTGGGTGTGCTGTGTTAACGATGTCAGCGATGAAGAACTTGCCATCTCACATCTGTTCTCATTAAGGCAGAAATGAGTATGCTCACAGGCGAGTGTCCTGGGCAAGCCAGAGGACAAACTCGATGCAGTTCGTGAAGTGAGAATATGTGTGGGGACTTTAAGGAAAACCACTTGCTCTTTTTCTCCCTTCCATCACACATCAGAGCACCTGTTACTCTTAATCTGCCGCCACTGCCCCCAAACATAAGAGACCATCATAAAGTCTGATAATTCTATATCCTAAAGCCTCTTCATACCCAGGTCTGAAGTTAGATGGTAAATGTGAAGGGACAAACCCTGGAACTCACTGAGCCCAGAGGGGACTGACTAGCAAGGTAGAGCGATGGGAATTTGGAAGAAAAGTAATTCTGCTGTTACTGGGGCTCCTGGCAGACACACGATTCCAATTTTAGGACTGACCCTGTGCAAAGGCCCTCCACAAAGATGGTATCTTCAGAGAAGAGCCTGGCTGCCCAGGGAAGTCACAGACAACACCGCTGCTGCTAAAGGGCCTATAGCAAAACAGAGAGAAGGGGCGGCTCCTGCCTCTCCAGCTTACACGGGAAAATGCTGCAGGCAAAGTGAGGCTTACAGCTTGAGGCACGTTCTGGTTTGCTTTAAGTGAATGCTTTTTCAAAAGTGGCACACTGTATCTCTGAATTAGCAACAGTCCCAGGATGGAGTCAGCACTCCAGGGCCCATTCTTTCCTATGTGATGAGACCTCCCTCTCACACCAGGGAAAAATGCATGGTTTCCAGTGTACTTGAGATGGTTGGTTACAAAGACATTCATAAGCAACAGTGACAAGGTTTGCAAGACATGGGTCACATGGCCAACATTTTAGAGTTCCTCGAACTCTACACAACTCTTTGTTGTGTAGAAAGCTGGAGAGGTAGTTTGAGAGAAGCACCTGAAATGACCCCAAGGCTTCATCGAGGTGGGGTTATGGGAGCTCTCTAGTGAGCTAAGGGGTTCCTGTGTCCACTGCCATTGACAGAAGCAGAACATCTTGAATGCTGGACAGTCCACATTGGACACCCTACATTTTAAATGAGATGGAACAAAACCGCTCACAAAATCACTCAGTGATAGAAAGGGTAAGAGATCCTAGCATAACCCAGCCAAGGAGGAGAAGGCTTTGGTGGGGGGTAGGACCATGTCCTTTAAATCCTTGGAGAGTTACCACAAAGTAGAGGCATCACACAAGCCATGAATGGCCCCCAGGTGGAGAAGTGAGGTCACTGGGTTGGCGTGCAGAAAGAGAGATTTTTGGTCCAATATAAGGAAGTGCTTTCTGCCAGCCAGAACTGTCCAAAGATGGAATGAACTGCTCTGAGCAAAAGCAAGTTCACCAGCACTGAAACTGCTCAAGGCGGGATGACCCCTCCAACTGGGAGGTTCTGGGGCTGTGGGCAAGCACGCAGGGAAGCCAAGAAGCCATGAAGGTGGTCTGTCCGGCTAAACGGCAGACTTCATCAGCAACTAGAAAACTTTCTCTCTGAACAACCTCCATCTTCTAAAATTTCAATCAGGTCTTAAACGAGGACCTGCTTGTTAAATAGAGAACAAGATAAATACATATGTCCACCTACTACCACAAAAAGACTTTACACATTTTTAGTCCTGGGCCCTTCAGAGGGTGGAGGGGCTGATTATATCACTATCCATGCCTTGCAGATGCTTTACTTCTTTGTATACTCTTACTTTGTGTGTGTGTGTTTTTTCCTGAATATTTAGCAAGCAACAAACACGAATGCCTTAAGTGTGCTGATAGCAAATGAAGCAAAGCCTGGTGCTGCTCATGGTTTCACAAATGAACAGAAGCCTGTGCTGTCCTGCAGAGTGGAGGGAGAGGAACACTCACCAGGTTGACTGGGCTGCTGACGTTGCTGTTCATGAGAGCCACGAGGCCGTTCACCAGATCACTGGAAAAAAAGGGGAGGCGGGTGAGGCTCTGCCTGCTGGAACATGCCAGTGCCACGCGCCACACAGAAGCCCTCCCAGAAGAAAAATTACCACCCCCAGAAGAAAATAAAAACCCAAATGGAAAACTGAATGTCAAAATAAAATCCTATAAACTAAGATGGTGTTTATGATGTGAAAGCATTTATGGATAAAATGATATATTTGACGTCTGGGATTTGCTTTTTGTGGGTGTGGAGGAGATGATTAAGTAGGATGGAAGCTGAGAGATGGGGTTGAGTTTGCCACAGTATTTCTGAAGTCCTTTAACAATTAAAAACTAAGCATAAGTTAAAACAGGCATATACTAAAAAAATATGGAGTTTACGTAAGTTTACAAAAAAAATTCATATTTAATGTGAACCCAGTAGTTGACCTGTACAAAACTACATGATTACTTTTAAAAACAAGATCCACAGAAATGAACGAACTCCAGTATGTGATCCCCATACTGGCAAATCACAGATAAAGCCAAACAATACCGAGGGTTAAAATAAACAAAAATGTCACTCCCTACTCCCCCAACCTGGAATTCACCACCCCGAAAAACACCTCATATGAAACGGTCGGGGATATTTGGATGTTTCAAATGGATTGTGATCAGCTGGGCCATGAAGGTGAAGATAAGTAAGCAAACTTCCGCTTACCAAGGTTTGGTTCTTATTTTCAGAAGCTTTAAAGTGTGGCTCTGTTAAAACAAAGTTACTTCGTAAAAATGACACCTCACTGCTAAGCACAAGCACTTTTTCTAAGCTGATTTTTCGCAAGTTATAATTCTTAGCAGACTTTTAAAGCTCTGACCCTCCTCCTCCTCCTCTGTCAATACCAGTGAGAAGCAGAATACTCTGGGTCAGGATAAACTTCCAAAAGAAAACCCCAGATAGGTTTTGCTTTCCTTTCAATAGGAAAAAAAAAAAAAATTTTAGGGGCAGGGTATTTAGTTAATAAGATATTTCTGTGTTTTCCTTTACGACAAATGGATATTTCATATGAACATGCTTACAATGTTCTGTTCTCAAGGATCAAGCACAAATGCAAATCCCTGCTGACCTTGGATGATTTCTCTTTTATATAAACTGGCAAAAAGTCACTTCATCACTATGGCAGAGTAGTTACAATTGTGCACTCGCGAAACACATCTGTGCATGTTTATAGAAGGACATTAAAAGCTGCCATTCCATTGCATCCACAATAGGTTTTAATATTATAACTGGGGGATGGGGTCTATTTGAGTTGGAAAAAGGCTGACTCTCAAGCAGTCATCCTCAGTGGGGCAGGAGGGAGTGCCATGTGCCTTTTACATGACAAACTGGCAACTTTTAAGGTCAAAATTGCATAGATCACACTCATTTAACCTGAAGCTCTTAAAGAGTGTCATTTTGACAAAGTGACTTTTAAAGAAAATATAGCATGCCTTTGTTATGTAAATGAGAACAAAACCCAGCCATGAGAATATTAAACAGTCATGCCAAAATGTCGATGCGGATGGCCACCTAGACCTCAGAATTCCTGCAATGCTGTTTCGAGGCAATCGTGGGTTTGGGGAGCGGTTAATTTGGTTCAGTAACGATGGAACCAGACATTGTGTGTTACTAAAAGATGCTCAGTTCCTAAAAAACTGCTTCAGAAAAACATCAAATGAACATTAATGAACTCAGCTGAGTCCTCAACAATGAAAATGTTTAATGTCGGGAAACCCTTGCCCAAGTGTGGCAAAGTCCCTGAAGCCTTGTCACCTCAGATTCCACTAACGTGGAACCAGAGAGCATCACCAGAATGGGGAGTAAATACTGCACAAGTGTTACAAAACGGGGTTTTCTAAAAGGGATAACAACCATGTGCCTAGGGGAACTGCTCAAGCCCTCTTTCCAAGTAGTCAAGTGGTATGGGAGAGGACGATGCATGTGATGGCAGCTAGGCACGTGCAGGCATGGGACAGTGACCAAGGCACGGAGAGAGTGATGGGGCAAAGACCCTTGCTCATCAGAGCGGGCCAGGCACGCTGGGCAAATTTTGTCCTGAGATGGGACAGCACATAGCACAGGCATCATCGAATGCTCAAAATATTTTAGTCCCTAGCAAAAGGAAAAGTCTCTGTGGCTATGTAAATTGAATTTTGCAAGCAATGCCCTTGAGATAATCACAGCAGGAAGAAGAGTGGGCTCTGCCTGGTTTCCTTTCCACCGCACAACATCTCATCGATATTCCATGTGGTGTGGGGCTGGAGAAGCCTGGGGGTCACTGGTGAGGCAGCGCAAGGCAAACCCACATAACCTAGGACAGCAAGCCTTCCTCAGGAAAGGGCACAGCTGGGTGGGTGGAGGATGGGATGAGAGCCAGTCACTATGGAAAGACGATACTCAATCCATGGGAGGCCCACAATTTGGTCCCCATACAGAAGTCTGCCATGACGGTTTCCCCCGGGACATGGTGCCTATGTTAAGTGCTTTGAAATGAACACAGTCCCGAAGTGGGGGCAGCTGCTGTTTCCCTGTTAAATCGCTTTTTAGAATACGCATGCCTATTTGGGCAACAATATTGGTTATAGTACAGTTCTGGGCTTTTTGCCCCTTGTGGTTACGATATTAATGGGTGGGGAGGGAAAAAAACACTGACTGTATAAATGTTTATTCACAGCTTTCTTTTAGAGTAAATGGAAGTTCAAAAATACTTTCAGCAAAATTCTACAATAGTTGTTTTAGATTCTTTTTAAAATTTTATTTTACTACCAGTTCCATTTCTCCAAGGGACTCCTACTCTTACCTAAGAGTCCTGGGTATACAGAAGCTGATGTGGTTGCTTTGGCTGAAGTGGGACTGGGGGGGCTTCCCTGACCTGCACCACAACAGCCACCATCTCACCCTAGTGCCCCTAGGATGGCCCCAAGACAGCAGGAACAGCACTTCCTGACTGAGAGGCATACTGGGGTCTTTGCAATGAAGAGTGAAAATACATGGGTTCAAAATCGAGAACTGGAGAACACAAGAAACTTTCAGAAAATGTGCAATAGCCACATACCGGTAGAGACACTTTGGCATATGCAACTGCTTCTATCCTAACTACTCTCAGAACCCACAATGCCTTTAAAATCAATCACCGATGGAATGGAACAACAGAACAGTGGATTTTTAAGGACTGCCAAGAAAACAATAAATACCACCCCGTGAATCTATTAAAAAATATAATTTTAATCTGCATTTAGTTTCAACACGAAATTCTACATGAGAACACCATCTACCTTGTGACCTTCACAAGGGCTATCTCCTCCACCCCATAAGCCATGCTTGCAATGGGTCAGATTCTGGCATTCGCAGGTTTGCTGGATGCATATGGTCACCTCAACTCAGCCTGCACTGAAGTCACCCGTCACCCTCAGAGCTGGGCAACTTCACCCACTCACCACTAGGTGGCAGTAAAAGATTAGCACATGAGTCACAACAGTCATGGAGATGAATGCAAATTTTAACTTTTAAACAGAGAACAGCAAATTTTCCCATCATAAAATTAAAAATTTTGAATCAATATATAGTGTTCGTGTTGTGGAAATGGTTAACATATACAAGACACTGAACTCGGTGTCAAGTCTGCAAGACCCCTACGCCAAAGCACTACTAAGGTTGGGGCCGGGCAGGACAGTCTTACCTGACGTACTGGAACGCCCTTGTCTGAGATCCAGATCCGTACACCTGGAAGAAAACCAACAGTTAGGCCCCCTGAGAAAACCACACCAGAACTGGGTAGGTAGGTGTCCTTGAAATTACAGGGGACACAGACTGACCTTGAAACTGATCCCAGGGGGCAGTGACGCTGACTCAAAGCACCTAGTACCACAGCCCACACTCTACTTCAAGACCATGCCCTGACAGGGAGTCAGTGGCAGCAATACCTAAAGCGTGCACCTGGAATACATGTGTAAAGTTTTCCCTCAAAAGACAGTGCCTGAAGGAATTCATTCCTGCTAGAGTCCTATGATGTGTCAGGCATCATGTGAGGCTCTGGGGACTGTGACCTCAGAGTCCAGCTGGGTGAAAGATCTACACATAAACAGTAATGCGTGTATTTCACTTGGGTTCCCCACTCTGACTGCTCAACAGCAGAGCTGGGAATGCAGCCCAGGCTGGTCCACAGACTCTTTGGGATGAGGCTGGCATCTTTGGGCTGAAGCTGTTATTGTTACAGCTACCTCCCCAGGAGATTCTAATGTAAGGCCAAAGTTGAGAATCATGCAGGAGACTCCGAAAGTGAAGCAGAGGTGGCAGGAGGGAGGGAGTCTCACACTCCCCTTTCTGTCCAGAGCGCATCTGCTCCACACTTCCATAGCTTGGCTTGTGTTCTTTGCTCTGCTGGCCAAGACCCTCTTGTCTACTTTACACCTGGCAGAGGCTACTCATCCATTAGGGACAAGCTCTGATGTTGTCGCCTGAGGAAGCTTTGTCTGGCTGAGTCCCCAGAGAAAGCCCTTTGCCAACTCCTCCCAACTGTGAACTCCCCAGAAGGACTGGTGTCCAACCCACCGTGGCCCTGCTGGAGCCCAGCACAATGCATGGTGCAATACTAGTGTAGGATGAGCATCTGCTGAACAACCTGCAGAGCGCCATGGATCATGCCACTCACTGAGGAGGAGATGGCAACAGAGGCGCTTGAGGAGATGCCCTTGGAGGTTTTGTTTGCTTGGGTGCCTCCCTGTGGTGGAACACAGGCAGCTGGGAGGAAGGGACTGCTTTTGGGAACAAGCCTGATTATAACAAACCCGGGGCCTCCTCCCACCTGACAGCAAAAAGGAGCCCCTGCCAGCAGCTCTGTGAACAGCCCCAATGGCCCCAGATACTCAGCATGAATTCCTGAAGTTCTTCCCACCAGTTGTGAGAAGGAAAAGGGAAAGGGGCAGGTAGGGGAAAAAAGCACATGCTTCAAACTCCCCGAATGCCTTTCTTTAAAGCAGGTTCAAAGGCTATCTCTGTCTTCTTAATAAGCATTGACATATGCCAATTTCACAGGTATATCAGTTCTAACTACATGGGTTCTGTTCTTGGAGGGAAGGCCTTCCACTGAGAAGAGGCTGGGTATGCAGAGGAATCAAAATTTCTGTCAACATAGAAACTACAGCTGTAACAAATCTCAGTCAAGTAACATTAAGGAAAGATGGCAGTGGGCCCCTTGGAAGCACAGGGCAGTTCCTTGACAGTTTTGCCTGAACCAGATTCTCTGGGCTGGCTGATACTTCTGACACATGTGAGGAAGACAGGAAGCATTGGGCCTGATTTGGTAGGAAAGGAAGTCCACTCCCGGCCAGCTCTGTCAGCCTGGAAACTCCCCTCCACTCTAGTGCCACAGGTATAACTCTGTTTTTTGTTTTCTTTAAACAACCTTATTTTGGAGATGAGGTGATGGAAGGTCAAACTGCTGGAGTGACCTGCACCCAGCAGAGTGAAATTTATCTTGACTCCAAGTTCAGGATTCTTTGTCCCACCCTATTGTGTTCATAATTTCAGAACTGCATGCAGTTTTTGCAGCCCCCAAATTGTGGCTCTCAGACTGGCACCAGACCATTCTCCAATCTTGCCATAGTGAGTACTGGATTTAGTCAAGTCCTGCATCACAGGTGCTCCTCCACAGGTGGGTTTGGGGCTGTGCTACTGCCTGCCCATTGCCTCTGCTGCATCCGGCGCTCTGCCCTCAAAGCTAAGTACACAGACGCACCTCTGCTACTTGTTTTGCGCCTTCCCACCACACTCAGTCAGGGTCACTGTGATGGTGGGCTCACCGGTCTGCTGGTGCATTCCAGCCATATTCACAGAAATCCCACCTCTGTGCAGTGTGGCAATGGCCTTCAACAAGCTGGCTGAAGCCAGTCTTCAGTGAGCTAGAGCCCAGACTTGCCCATCAGAGCTGCAGTCTCTCAGAGAGGAGCCATGGAAACATGCAGAGGCAGCTTTTGATTCCACCCAAACATGCTGACCCCAAGCCCTGGACGGAACACAATCCAGGGCACTGCATGCTGGATGAGTCCCCAGACCCGACGGGTTAATCCAGGCTGCCAGCGTCAGGATGTGAAGAACCACGCTAAGCACCCACTCTACCCACTACAAGGGACTTCTTATGATGGAGACACTCAGCAGCTTGAATGTCACTTAAGCCCAAAGGGAACCTTAGGGCTGCAGCCTGGGAAGTAAAAAAAGGCTCCTGAAACAACCCGCAGTCTGCTGGGTACTTCCCACTATTGCCTCATTCAAAGCCCACTGCAGGGAGAGAGTTATGACTGTGGATGCATTTCCCTGCATGACTCACCAGGGGCAGTCCCCACCCAGCCAGCACCGACACAAGGTTCACCTGGACGCACCAAGGTCACCAGGTAAGCTCTGCTCCCTTCAGGTCTGGTGACACAAGCCCCTCAGCAGCACCCACCCTGAGGTCCCACCTGATGTCCACAAAGCAACTGGGCCTTAAGGAAATAGTCCCCGGGACAGGAGGAGGTGCTTCTGCCTGGGCTGCAGTGGAAAGGTGTGGATGTCATGGGACGCCCACTGCACACCCCCACAGGCCTTGCTGATACAATCTGGAAGGTATGTATGCTCCATTGTGTGCATCAGGCTAAGCTGCAATGTGAGTGGGGCCTGGAACCCTTCCTTCCTGGTATCTTTAACAGTCCTGCCTGCTCCATTGTGTGCATCAGGCTAAGCTGCAATGTGAGTGGGGCCTGGAACCCTTCCTTCCTGGTATCTTTAACAGTCCTGCCGGATTTCAGTTTCTATGGCACATCACATCCATCATCTATACTTTGGTTTAAACTAGCCTCCTAGTACTTTGCAATATGGGGACTTGTACTTTATCACTACACAGTACTTTGCAATATGGGGACTTATAATTCATGTGTGTAATATTCACTGTGTGTGCTAATGTAAAAATATAAAGTTAAAGAAAGGAGTGCGTGTGCAAGAGAGAAGACGCTACGTAATTATACCCCATCCAAAAACATCTGTCTTCCGTGGGCTCTAGAATGCACCCTGTGTACAGCCCTTACAGTGTGAGCTGAGGCCCTTCATCTCCCCTACTCCATGATAAGGCCTGAAGGGACTTGTAACAAATTGGGTGTGCAGCAAAATCCAGGGCATGAGTATCCCAGGGATCTGGTGTGGACAGCTGGCATCAGCAGAGCTCTCAGCCTCCTCATTGTTCTCCTTACAGAAGACAGTGTGAGATTTGGTCCCTCCATCTTCATTTCACACAATAGGAGAGATGCAGGGAGATTCATGCAAGAGTGAAGGCTGCTACTGGGGGCCGGGGAACAAAGGGCTGTGTGCAGGTCAAAGCAGCATGATGATCAAAGAGTCACCGACAGGGGAGAGGACCAGCCGGGGGTGAGGGGCAGCAAGGAGCTCTCTGATGATCACTTGGCAATGTCCCCAACTGTGTTCTAGTGCTCTATGTGTTTAAGATGTAAGAGATTCTTTGCTTGGCCGAACTTGATTCAGGCTCCTGTACCTTCTCCTAGGCCCATTTGTGAGCTTCCTTGTAAAATGTTCTTGTTCTTTTAACAAGAACTTTGTTAAGTCAGTTTAGCAAGAAACCCTTACCTTCGACATCTGTTCACCCTCGATAACTGACATTCCTTACCCCCCACATCACCCTGGCCTGTCTTCAGCAAGAATCCTGTTAGGTTGATTTAGCTAGAATCCTCCTTATCCCTGATGCTTCCCTTAATGAATTTCCATTCACCCACGTCCTCCCTGCTCCTTGGCTATGAATTCTGCTTGCCTGTGCTGTATTTGGAGTTGATCCCAGTCTCTCTTCCCCCTGTGAAATCCCATTGCAGTGATCTGTATTCCTGTCATGATGGTCCTGAATAAAGTCTTCCCACCATACTTTAACCAACACCACTGAGTAACTGTTTAACAGATCCCGAGGCTTCCTGCCACAAACAAAGGCCCAATGTAAGGATCACTTATCACACCACAGTATCAGTAAAATGGCTAAACATTATACTAGTTTTGAATTGGTCTTGGAAGTATAGTTTTTCCAAAATTTCCCTTTGGAGGAATAGCAAGGCTTTAAAAATGACATAGAACTGGATTCAAGCCCCAATTCTGCCACGTCTGAACTGTCCTGGGCAAATTCCTCTTGGTGAAGTTGTTTACCCCTCTGTAACCTGGGATAAATCATATGGGGTGGAAAGCAGAATGAACCCCTCCTGTGAATCTGTATACTATAACTGAACTGTGAGCCAAAGCCTCTTCAAAAATAAACTTACGACACTAGCTCTACCTGAACCATACTTGTCTATTTTCTAAACTGAGATGCAAAATTTGCTGAACTTCTACATGATTCCACTTAAAATACAGCTTTGATGTATGATGCAGTTAACCTAGCGACATACTCCGTGAGTCCCCATCACAAGAATCTGCTACAGCAGCGAGTGAGATGCTAGGACACGCATGAGCAATCTGCTCAAAAACACAGCTGCAAGGTAAGCAATCACACCTACCCAGCCTGGAAAGGGAGGACAAGACACTGAGCTGTTCCCAGCCACCCTGGAAGAGGTCTTCATTTCGGAAGTGACTACTTGGAAATGTAGCAGAAAAGGAACAAGATGGACATGTCTCCTTATTTCCCTTCCTCAGTAAGCCAAGTGTTTCTAAAGACAGGCTGGTGGAGGCAGGCCTGCAAGTGTCTCTCCAGACCACTCCACAGAGCCATCTGACAAGAGCAAAGGATATCTCAATTGGACAGAAAAGAATGAAGTTAGCGACTTTATCAAATTCTTGCTGGGAAATAGAATTCTGTGTGACAAAGGAAACAAAACACATTCTGAAAGGCCTCCCTTGGGACTTCTGCCTCCTGCCACCAGAAGGCACCTACGGAGACTAAAGTCCGCCACGTTCTGAATTAACTGCAGTCATGGATGGCTCCAGAGATCTTCTCCCTTCCATCTCTGGCACAAAAGCTTGCTCAGTGTGAAGGCAACACATGAGTTATCACCTCTAGCATGCATTCTTGGGGAGGGCGGCTAGGGGACAGCGGGGGCCCTGGCTGCTGCCAAGGAGGCACTAAATCAAGCTCCTTCTTGGAGGCTTTCACAGTTTATTGTGCAAACAAAGCAGCTCTCATCTCACAGCATGAGGGACTTTCTGAACACACTGGCTAAAAAGGCACCAGGCCGTGGAATTCTCAACTGAGCAGGTGGACTCTTGTTCGCAGGGCACGGCATGAACTCCTCGGAACCCCAAGTAGCAGCAAAAGGGGAACATGGGATGACAGTTTCACTACTTTCACTTACTGTAAAAAAAAGTGGCCACTACAAACCCAATTATTAGTCCACCCAGCATCTCTCTCCTGCCACCCATGTGCCTGGGGGGGGGCGGTCTTCTTTCTGGGAGCCAGGAACACAACCATGAATGAAATAAAGTTCCTGGTTTTGAAGAGCATACACTGTACTAACAGGGATTGGGGGCTGGAAAATTCGTATTTCAGTTGGTTGCAAGGGCAGTGAAGACAATTAACATGGTTATGGTAACCAGCCTGGTACCATGATGCAGAGAAGCGTCAAGAAGTTTCTCTTATGTAGAAGAAGAATGCATGAGGAGAATGCCCAGAAGAAAAGCAAGATGCTCCTGGGACAGGCAGGAGCAAGTGCACGAGGAAGCCTGGCCTAAGGGAGGGCACGGAAGCAAGAAGGCTGTGTCCCATGCTCTGCTGGGGCTGCAGAGCCACTCGAGCTTCTGACCTCTCTTTACAAGGCTCCCTCCAGCTGTGGGGGTGAGAGTACACAGGACAGGGGGAATGAGAGTGGCTCCAAGGCTATGGTAACAAATAGTGGTGGGACGGCGGCAGTGTAGACCAGGGACTAGAGAATGGACCTACCTAGGCAATCCAAGACCATTAGGATGTGCTGGTAGATCTGTGCATGAAGGAAGGAGAACAGCCATGTGTGGCCACAGAGCCTCCATCCAAAGGCATCAACAAGACACCACTTAGTGACAGGGGGAAGCAAGAGAGCTGCTGGGCTGTTGAGGGTCTAGAGCTGGAGTCTGAACTCACCTCTCCCCTGGAATGCGTTCAGCAAAACTCAGCTATACAGTGTAGCTGCCCCCGGGGAGTCATCTCACTGTGTAACAGGCTGAGCTTTTGGGTCTACACTGGTAGTGGAGCAGCTAACACAGACAAGGAGACATACACACCATGAAGAATGCTTATGAAGAGAGGGGGCTCTGGGTTCAAAATCAGGCTACCACTGTGTGGCCACCTAAGCCTGGGCAACTCATATAACCTCTGTGCTCCAGCATCCTTACCTGAAAAAGGAGGGGAATAATGTCACCTGCAGATCATAGGAGAAGAGTGAGCTAACGTGATCAACTGATCAATGGGTGGGTGCATACGTACTACACAGATATACACATAGCTGTAACTTTTCTCACTGGTATATACTCAATTGATAATAAACCATCTTGCAGGATTTTCAGAGCAACAGGATGCTTATCGACTCTTGAGTCCCACCAAACACCATGCTAGAAAGGGCTCTGGGAGGCTACGGATCAGAAGAGCAAAGTGGCCTGGGCAGATGACCATGAAGAGGAGTGGTGAGAGAGGAGCAGGTGCGAGGGACAATTAGCAAAACCAAAGATGCAGGCAGAGCCTCTCACCAGGCGGGCCTGGGGCACTCCTCCCCAGGGAGGCCAAAGGGCTATGGGGACAGGTATGGAATGAGCAGCCTGCCCTGACCCGAGATGACATCCGAGGGTGCCAAGCAGTTAGTGTCAGCACAGACATCCCTGCCACACACTTGGACCACTGACCAAAGGTCACTGGGACCTCTGCTGGCTCCAGAAGGTTCCCTGGGTTGAAAGTGGCCAATGGAGGACAGCATTGAGAGCCTGCCAGCATTGTTAAGGTGACAGCCCAGCTTGAGCAGATGCGGCTCACATCTCCACCCCACCTGTCCAGGCTTCTTGGCACCCCCAAAAACACTGAGTATAGGCACATCCCTGGCTACAGCCAGCAGGCCAAAAATATGTCAGGGAAGGTCTTCATAGGCCAGCTGGCACAGGCAGGCAGACCAGGAGGCATGGGCAGGGACCCCAGTGGCCATGGAGGGCAAGGTGACTCGAGTTAGGTGCAGCTGCTACTCGCCTGTGTTCTGTCCCCGTGCCTGTCTTCCCCTTAGTGGAGGGCAGAAAGTATGCACACAAACACTACATGGCAGCTTCAGAAGTGTCACTCCCCAAGCAGAGATGCACCCATCCCTCATCCCTTGTGGGCAGACTCCAATTTGGTTTGCAAGGTGTTCCCTGCACTGAAGCCAGCACCTACCGTGAGCGGCTCCCCCTGAAGTGCCTGCAGGATGAAGTTGCTGACCACCCGCCCATCATTCATGTGCATGCGCGGCCCAAAGGTGTTGAAGATTCTGGCCACTCGCACTTCCACGCCTTCCTGGAACAGAGAGAAGAGGAGGTCAGACGTGCTCCCCGGCATAGTCCACGTGTCCACTTTGCATTTCCAATGCCCTGCATGCAAAGCATGTCAGGAAACGTTCTGCTTTCCATTCCAAAATGGAAATGGCTTTTTGTTCTGATTCCATAATGTGCTCATTATAAACCAATTGGGAGACTACACAGAGCTACACCAAAGAGAGTCAAAGCTGTCCCAGATCTTGCCACTGAAAGGCCACCAGCATTAATGTTTTGGTAGAAAACCAGCTAGATTAACAGTGCAAGGAGAAAAAAAGAGTGCTTATATAAATTTTTTCCCAGTTGAATATGTATTTTCCAAATGTGATTATGTTATGAATATGCTTTTCTAATCTTTTTCACATAATATACTGTGGAAAATTTATCAATCAACAGAGATTTAAATGTCGATGAATATGTGATAGCTAGAGAGAAATCAAGAAAGATCTCTATTTTGGGAAAAGAAGACATAGACATGTTCTTACTGAGTGACCCCGCACCTACACTCCCAATCCGTTTTACTAAAAAACATCTGTTTTAATGAAAAACTAAATACAACTTAGTGCCCAGTTAATGGGTATTAGCTAATGGCCTGGAAAGAGAAACAGACTGACACTGTTTAAAACATTCTTCCTGTTCATTTTCATCTCTATGTTCATTTTCTTCTATGTATTTTTTAATGCTCCTATTTTTATTACAATAAACATGTATTACTGTTGTAATCCAGAAAAGCCAGTTTTTAAATATGCAATCAGGGAAGTGCATATTTGAATCATGAAAGCCTTCTCTAAATGATCTTGTTTAATTATTAATTTCACACACTGCTTTGCCATGGATGGAAAAGTTAAATGTTTTTGTCAGAAACTCTGAATTAGTGGGCGTTTACAGTGTATATGTATCTAATGTTTGATCCATTACAGAACAAATGTGCACTTTCTGGGCATCTGAGGGCAGTGAGGACCTGGGGCTCCCACTTCTCACTGCACCTATGTGTCTGCTGTTCCTGCCCCATCATTCACTGCCCAGGCCAACCACTGGCTAGGTTGCAGCGAGACAGGGAAAGGAGAGCTACATACCTGATCGCCTCAGTGTTCTAAGACTGAAGCACAGGCCCAGTGGCTGTACTGGGTGCCAGTTACCACTATCAGCTGAAACAGTTCTTTATTCAATTTCTACCAACACCTAAGGCTGGCAAGCGCTGGGAATGGGAATCCAATGGATCCTTAGCTAACAAGGCTTACTTAGCACAGAATTTCTCCACTAGTATAGTGAGTTAAAGGGCATGAGCTGTGAGCTCCAGAGGCCCCATCAGCCCTCTCAGTAGCTGGAGTGACACAGCTGCCACCTCTGCCCACAGCAGCCTCATCAATTTCCCCAGAGTGTTCCACAAACCTGGGCGGGTTTTTATGTGTGCTGTGATATGACAAGAGGTGGGAAGCATAGAAGCACACAGGTATCTTTTAGAAGTCAAAGTGCTTTATTGTGCAAACTCTTCCCAGCAATACACTATAATGCTCTCACATGAGCCATTCAGACACTCACGACAAAGATATGTGCTAAGTCCAAGGATAAATCAACCCTTTTTTCTACTGCACTGATGAGTGTATTAAAAAGGGTGGGGGAACAGAGATGCTGGTCTCAACAGAAAATAACTCAGAAGTACCCACTTGCATTTAATTGATAAGAGGAGGAAAGAATCAAAGTGAATGGATGTGGCTTTATTCTAGGAAGAGACTAGAAAAATCTCAGCAAATTTACAATAATCAACCCAATCAGCCTGGTAGGGAAAAAGCTCAATGGGTTAGGCAAAGTTTGCAGCAAATCAGATGCTTTTATCTTGACCTTCCCTTTCCACAAAACAGCATTCCAGAACATGGCCTCATTAGGATCAACAGACATTAACTGGCCAACCCATCAACAGGCTTGCTTGCTGTGGCTTTTCTATTTGAGTCTGTAATGACTCAGCAACAGAGGGCAGCCCTTCTACACTGGTGCAACAGCTGTGAATGCAACAACACTTCCAAGAATGAGAGCTCTCAAGGCCAGTCTACACCAGCAAGACGAGCCACTCGTGAAGCCTAAGCTTGCATGACATAGAAACTCGAGACTCACTCCAGTTAAGACCTGCTCTCCTCTGGGATGATGGTGTCTTCTGGAGTTTTTATGCCCATCTATCCCATTCTAGATAGCATCAGCAAACACTTGGTCTTCACACAAGGTGACCCCTAGTCAATATGTATAGTCCACTTGCTGCTGAATCCTTATCCCCACTGGTCCTCACGGTGAGACAACATGGGCAGGAGGAAGGACAGTCAGTGGGTACGGACACCACTATTTACGGTGGCAGCTCAGTCACCACCCACATGCCATGGCTTACAGGAAGGTATAGTTATTCGTCAGAGGTCCAGAGTCTGACCCAAAGTCACCTTCCTAAGAAGGGAAGAGCTAGGCTGAAAACTCAGGAAGTGCATACCAGGCAACACTGTCTCATTTAAGGGAGAGCCCACTTCTGAAGGACCAAGAAGCAAACACATTAATGAACTCCTGACTCCCACGTAATGTTCTGCCTGTGAGTGGTCAGGCCCTGCTGACACTGAGCTGGTGCCTTGGAGCACAGACAAGGCTGTCAGTCAGAACACTAACTGTTGACTCATCCTAGGCATGGCTGGGTTTACTTTATGCTCTGTGGTTCTGTCCCTTGTGGTGACCCATGAGTCATGGACAGCTCCAAGCATCAGGAAAGTCAAGACAACTCCTACAAGCTGAGCTGTACCAGCATAGAACCAACAAAAACTTAGAGAGGATGGATGCTGAGGACCCTGCACAGGGTGGAGGCCGGAATACCTGGATGGCCTCACTATGCCAAGAAAGTCACTTCAGTTGCTAAGGCTTAAGATCCTAATCTTTGAGATGAGGACAATAATATCCACTCTATCTACAACACAGGGATTAAAGGAAAACACTGAAACTGTTTTGAAAACTGCCAGCATTATTATCTACCTCCAAGGAATGGTTCTCAACCCAGTAATTGCCCTTGACCACTGTCCTCAGTTTTCTGATGACACTAACTTACCTTGAAGTAACAGTGACCACATTGGGAATAGAGCACACACTGTCACCAGGACACTAAGATTGCAAGGCACAGGCTGAGGCTCCCAAAGGCCTTTGGAGACACCAACTAGGCTGGAACAGTGTGAGCTGGCATCAAATGCCTCCTTGCCCCATTTGTAGCAGCTGAGAGATGGGTGAGGGCTTGGGTATGCAGGTCCTAAGACGTGGAGCCAACTCACAGCAGGCCTGACAGGCAAGACATGATTCAAGAGGAATAATGAAGGGAAAGGGATTCCTCCCTTCCCAAATATCTCCCAAGGACAGAAACATTACCAGCAGGAATTACACGGTGTACAGAGCACCTCTGACATCAGTGATTTTATCTTAGAAAATGACTCCATTTCACATTTCAAAAGGCATCAGCCAATACGGTCCAGAAGTTTGCATAATCAAGAGAGACAATGCCCAACTAGATTAAGGGCAGAACCCTTACTGCTAGTCCTCACCAGAGGGCTCAAGGGCCGTAATGAGGAAGACTTCTATTGCTCAAGATAGCCATCTTGACAGACCCTGTCTTGCTGTCACTCACGGTCAGCACCCAGCATCTGCCACCAAACACTGCCCAAGTCAAGGGCTTTTCCATGCAAGATGTCGCTGTGTGTCCAGATCAACCCCGGACCCTCTCCTTGTCCATATCACTGTCCTTAGACTGGTTCATTAACTCCTTTTCCTCTCCCCTTATCTCTCGATGTTAAATGTTACTGTTTGATGTGGAATGTTTAATCTAAACATTTACATATTAAGTATACTACTAGGTATGGTTTGCAGTGCTGACTGACCTGTGGAGGGGCTTGAGCCTATGTGCCCGCAGCTCTGACTATCAAGTGAATGGGAAATCCTAAGAAATCCCTCCTTGGAAACTCCATGGAGCACATGGATTTTATGACTAAAACAGCATCAATAAAAGCCTGACCTTGTAGAAAGACACAAACGTTCATGGACCTGATTATGTCTGACTTTGTCCTACTCAGGACACATGGGTTCTCCCTCAAAATTTCTTTAAAATGCGTTCACTCAGTGGGTTCACTCAGTGGAGAGTACAACAGGTGCTTCAAATAATATCATTTCATTATAACACTGATGAGATAAAAATCACTTCCTGGCTGGGGCTACTGTCTGCATGCAGGTGGCATGTTCTCCTCTCTCGTCTGTGTGGGTTTTCTCCAGGTATTCTGTTTTCCTCTCACATCCCAAAGCTTTGCATGTCAGACCAGACAAGTGGGCTGTGGTCCCAGCATGAGTGAGTGTGGGTGTGTGTGAGTGCGCCCTGTGAGAGGGTGGCACCCTGTCCTCGGTAGGCTCATGCCTTGAACCTGGTACTGCTAAGATAGGCTCTGGCCACCCGATACCCTGTAAATAATTATCTTGTTCTTATTAATCTTCCTTAAGTATACAGCTCACACTTGTTTCAAACGCTTAATACTAGAAGTGTTTTAGTCTTTATTTAGAATTTTGGTGATGTTTTTGTGACCAGAAATATGCCTAGGAACTTAACTCTTGTTTATAGCAATTAGCCTATGGTACTGCTGATTCTGTTCTATGTCCGTCTGCTTAAAGTCGCAGTTTCCAAGAACAGACTGATGATGTTAACAGATGACTTAGTGTGCTACAGCAAGCCACTGAACACTGTGACATTATCATTATCTTCACTGACAGAAGGTACTATTGATAGAAAGTCGAGGAACGGAGCCCTGTATAGTAGGAGCAGGTCCTGAAGCACACCCAGGTACAGCACCCCAGGCTCTGACGCTTCCCTTAGATGTGCACATCTCTAAGGCAACAGGTTCAGGCTGTGAGGGCCAAACCTTTTAACTCCCCTAGGGCCTCTCACTAAATCTCAATGGGTTCTGCTCCCTACCTGGGGATAAGACT